AAAATTTAATTAAAATGAGTTAATTGCTTTTTAATTGATTCTAATTAAATGATTTAGATTTTATTTAAAGACTTGGGTCCAACTATTGATTAAAATATGTTTATGTAGATGCTGACAAAAAGGTCCACCTCACAAAAAATTAATTTAAAATTTTACACTTAATAATATAAATTTTTTTTTTTTTGAACATGATTAATTCGGGATAGGGGGAAAGGGAAAGGGTGGAGATTGAACCCCACCTTTTAGGTGAGTAGTCCTTTAACGATGTTGAGGTGGTCACTTAAGTCACCTTGGGCTTCCCTTTAATAATATAAATTAAACAATGTGAATTCGTGGCAAATTATTATGCCACTTACGCACTTCTGTGAACAGAAAGTCCAATATGGGAATGCAAAAATAAAGTATAAGGACAAACTTAATAAATTTTTTAAGTTTAGAGATGAATTTGATCTAAAATTGAAAATTGAGAGACCAAATTTAATAATTTAACCTATAATTTTTCTAACATAAGCAGGTGTATCTCTCCTTTAGGAAAAAGGAAAAAAAAATGCAGGAGCACCTTTCTGATTTGTTCATAAATGTTCCTTAGCTGTATTACTAATGATATGTTAGTCTGAATGAAAAGAATTTGATTTTCTTTAAATGAAATCTTAAGTTTAAATTTTATAAGTAAAGAAATTAGTATTGGGAAAACTTTCTCCCTCATAATATTCGATGAGACTTGGTTCTAAATTAATCGAGATTCAATGTGATTATCAGATACTGAAAAATTAATACCAAAAATAAATATTCCTTTGTTGTACTTGTTCTTAGTTTAGTGTCTACCTTTACGAATCAAAATCTCACCCCTTTTCCCTCCACTAAATTTTGAAGAGTACTTCTAACATGTATGATAGGATATAATTTTTTTTTTAAAAAAAATTTATAATTATTTACAGAGTTTCGAACGTGTAACTCACTGGAGGTGAATAGTCCTAACCCAAAGTTCAATACCACTGGGCTAGAGCAGGCCGTTTGTATGATAGGATATAAATTAATGGTGTATTTAGTATATTTTTTTATTTATGTTAATTAATATAAAAAATTATAAATTATAAATTTTAATAATAATAAATATTATATAATTTAAATTATATCAAACTGTATTATATTAATTATTTGATATAAGTAAATCTTTTGATATTGAAAGATTTTCTCTTAATATAATAATTTTTATTTTTTTATTTACAAAAAAAAAAAAAATTCTTATTTTATTGTTTAATATTATTTCAATTATTAAACATGATTATCTTTTAATAATTATTTAATTAGTTTATTTAATTGATAATAATATTAAAATTAATGTTAATTTTTGTAATTTTTTATATAAATTAATATTAAAAAAATAATAAATAACCTATTAACTTAGGTTCATGTTACATATGGTAGATAAACCCATTACTAAATCAGTTTCTTTAGATGAAAATCTCGTTTGGTCCCACCAGTCTGCTCCTTCCCACTCCACCCCATTCATTCCAGGTATCCTCGCCATTTCTCTCAATTTCCTCCCTGATTTCTCCCTCCCCGAGAAAAGAGCAAAGAGAAAGAGAAACCCAATTCCTCCCCAGAGAAGGAGAAATGAAGGGAAGCGCTGCAGCCAATACAAAACTAATCCTCCTCCACCCTTCCGTCCATAAGCCCTCCTCCTCCTACCGTTTCTTCTTCCTCTTCTTCCTCACCTTTTTCACCTTAGCATTTGTTATGACCCTTTTCAACACTTCCTCCACCATCCCCTCCGCCACCGCTCCGTTCCCCACCGGAAACTACCCCCTGCCGTCCTCCATCACCACCGCTCTCCTCCACTATGCCGCCTCTTCCAACACCACACAGCACCACATGACTCCTTCTGAACTTTCTGTCATTTCCTCTGCTCTTAACCGCTGCCCATCCCCCTGCCATTTCCTCATTTTCGGCCTCACACATGAGTCCCTCCTCTGGCACTCTCTCAACCTTGGTGGCCTCACCATTTTTCTCCACGAGAGCGAGTACTTGGTCTCCAGTTTCGAGCGCGCCCACCCCGAAATCGAAGCCTACGACGTTCAGTACACTACCAAAGTCAGCCAAATGTCCGATTTGATTTCCGTCGCTAAGACCCATATCGACGGGGACTGCCGACCGGTGCAAAACCTCCTATTCTCCGATTGCAAGATCGCCATCAACGACATGCCCAACCACATCTATAATTTGAATTGGGATTTGATTTTAATAGACGGACCTCGCGGATACTTACCGGACGCGCCTGGGAGGATGGCACCCATATTTACTGCGGCGGTGCTGGCGAGGAGCAAGAAGAAAGCCGGGAAGACACACGTGTTCGTGCACGATTTTAATAGGGAAGTGGAGAGGATTTGCGGTGAAGAGTTTTTGTGCGAAGAAAATTTGGTGGAGACGGTGGATTCACTGGGACATTTTGTGGTGGAGACCGGCGGGGTGGAAGGTGATGGCGGCGGGGTTAGGTTCTGTCGGAATTCTACTTCATTTTCTCCATTATTATCATCGGAAATAGATGACTATTGAGAGGAGATAGAGATGGAGATGGGAATTGTGATTATAATTGTAACATGATTACATGTTTTTTTGTTTTGTACTTCTTCGGTATGAAAGCTTACTGTAATATTTACATAATTAAGGTTAAAAACCTAAAATTTAGAACTCCGTCATGGAAGCAACAACATCAGGGGATTATTGTTGCTCTCCCTTCAGTAGAATCAAGCTATAAGCATCTAGGTCAACTAAATTAAAATTTATAAATGTTGTCTTCTTTTACAACCTAAACTCAAAAAAAAAAAAAAAAAAAAATGTAATCTCCTCATTGAAAGTTGAAATTAGTAAATATTTGATCAGAATTAGATAAAGTTCAATTAAAGATAACAGCCCAAGTAGTGGATATGGTTATTAACACACAAAAATGACAAAAATAGGTGAGGGTAACATAAGTTTTTTAATATTGTTTTTAGAAAAACTCACTTTGTTTGTTTTTTTTTTAAAAAAACATATTGTAATTATTTATAAGTTAATTAAGAGATGAGGGAAATGATTTTCATGGGACTTGAATGTTTAACCTACAAAAGATGAACAACCATAATTTAGGGTTCAATATCATTGGTACAGGACAAGCCGTTCCACTTTGTTTGGTTTAGAGATTAAAAACAATTAATGATTAATAGAATAATTAATATTTATTAATTAATATACTGAAAAGTCTTACTAATTACTGTACTTGGAGGTGCATTAAAAAACAATTAATAGTTAATAGAATAATTAACATTTATTATTCTCTTTTATTGGATATAGTTGTCATATTTTTTCAAAATAATGGTGGTTTGCTTTAATTGTCCAACTTTTCATTTTAATAGGATATTAAATATCAATACATCAATTTTCCCAGCTATATTCTTTCAAAAGAATAGAAATGCATTAGTTTTTTTAAAAAAAAATTATAAGTAATGGTGAAAATGAAAAAAAGAAGTCTTAATTATTGTGATAAATAAATTTCTTGATAATCATAAATAAATAAAATGAGACAACTAAATTCGATTAAAAGAAATGATTAATATATTAAAACTAATTTATAAATTAATATTTTTAAATATTATAATTAATTAAAAAATCATAAATTAATAAAATACCAATCAAACTAAATATACTTAGTATAATTTATGTCACCTTAATCTATTGGTAGATTACACCCATAACTATAGCTACAATAACAAAAGTCTACCATCACAATCATAATTCAAGCCTTGGTATAACCATTCTCGATTCACTTCCCCAATTTCTGCTTGAAAGATTAACGGAGGATTGAGGTTTAGAAAGTGTCGGTGCTGGTAATTGTTGTTGTTGGTGAGGACTGAGGAGTGAAGTCAAGAAAGTGGCGGAATCTCAGGTGGTGGATGAAAGAAGCAAAAAGCTGTGGTACCGGCGGGATATATATTAATTTGATTGAGTAGCGGGTACGGGTTTTTCGCTTTTTATCATCGTCGTGTCATCCTCACGTGAGCCACGTGACAAAGGAAACGATTAAAGCGCACGTTAAGAACCATTATGGAATCGGGAGGGAAGTGTCGGTGAGGAAACATTGTGCCATCAGTGGTCACGCTCGTACAACATCTTTGCTTCCGTTGTGGTCATTTTTTTTTTAATTTTATTTTATTTTAATGGTACGGAGCGTGCTTTTGCGGCCACGTTATTTGTTGTTAAAAAAACCGTACTTATTTCTGGATAAATGATAGAAGGAAATATCAATGATTTATTGATTTTGATGGAAATATTTTATTATTTTTTAAATAAATTTTTAAATTTAAATTTTATAAATTAAAAAATAAGCATGAGAGAGTTCTTTTAGTGTAAGATTTGATATATTTTAATTTTAAATTAATTAAAATCTAAAATAACTTTTTAATATTAAAAATTTAATAAAAAAAACAATAAAGAAACATTTGTTGTGTAGATTGACGAACGAATACCAATTTTGAAGTGGTAGATTCATACACTTTAAATTATAAGTAAAACTAATTATTAATTATTAATTATTAATTATTAATTATTAATATGATATTAATTATTAATTAGTAACTGTATTGAAATAATTAATTCAAATAATCCCTATCATGCATCATGATATATTCAAGAGGGTGTTTTTTTCTTTTTTTCTTTTTTTCTTTTTTATTTCGCCAAAATTTAGAAAGGTACATTAGATTAATGAAATTGTGGCTATTCCCCGTTTTATAATATCTGCTTTTTATCATAATTAATTTATTATACCAATAGATGTTTGATTGAATTAATTACTGTCTTTGCCTTCTCTCTGTCATTTTCTCTCCTCTCTTTTGTTCTTTCTTCTCCCTAACCACCGTTGCCTATCTTTTACTCAGCAATTTAAAAGGGTGAATAATTAAGTGAGTGTTTTGTGAGAGAAAACTTTCTTCATTTTCTATTTTTGTTTCTTTTCTTATAAATTTTTTTAAATAGTTTAGCAAATGACAATGATGTCCATTTTAAAATAAAATATTCATACATAATATTTAACACTTTAACTTTTATAAATTTAAAAAATCACTCTTAATCTTTCATATATAATAAAACAATTCAAAATAGTTCTCATTAACACTTATTCTACTTACCTATGATGATTCCACAAAGGCTATATCAATCCCATCCCTACCTTGTGCCATTTAGGCAACTTGTTCTAGATCTAATGCAATTGGCTCTCCGTTTGAACTTGTATGTTATTCTTCCCTACTTAATGTATCAAATTCTTCTCCACTAATAAAAAGCCTATCCATCTCGTCTTCCTTTAAAATAAAAGTATGGATAGTGTGCAACAAGCTTTTGGTAGGTTGCATTGTTTCTTGAGTGGATAAGAAGGCATCAGAATTAAAATGGGAAGCCTTTTCTTCAAAATTCCAATGTTACACTTAATTATATTTTAAACTGTAGAATGTCTCATGTTCAATAATTCTTCTTTCTCACGCAGAGGACATCTTTGTGCAAAATCACATGCATGATCCCTTTGTTCTTGATATGATGCTAAAAACCTTGGTATGTTTGGATATCTAGCATGCATGACTTAATATTCACCTAATTTTTTTTTCATAAAAATGAAAAAAGAGTTCTAAATATAGGTATAGAAAATTTTATTAAGGAAAGTTCTAAGTATAGATACAAGAAAAAAAAATTAAAGAAAGATCAAAACATAATACCTTTTGGTAGCATGGGAAATCCTAGAATTGGGTCTAAAACTGTATCGTAAAAAATTCAAACATTATATTTTGATCCTTTTACTTTTGTATTAATCTCTCAATATCCAATATATACATTGGGTCTCGACTAATCCAAAATAAGGAGAAATCTCTCTCAGCACCTGTTTTTCCATTCATAAGACTCAAACTCAATATTTTATTTAATGAGAATCGAGTTCTTTCTACTCGAATTAACAGGTCGTTAGTTGATCCTTCCTATTTAGTATACACAAATGTGAAGTAACCATAGTGTGAACAAGCTACCATAACATTTTGATGATGGAACTTGCAGATGTTTGTATATCCCATCAATTGCTCTAGTACAATCCTATTCAGTTTACAATCTTATTCAATTTGAAATTATTTACATTAACCACACTTGAATAGTTAACAATTTAAATAAACCAATTACATTTCATAAATAAATTAATGTACACTTCATAGCTTAAAATAAAAAATCCGCATAAGATTTCCAACAATTTCAAGTTAGACTTCACCTTGATCCTTGAGGCGGATGATTTTAATCCCTAACTTACACACTCCTTTAAGAACCATCTCAAACCATCTTGAAATAGTCTTTGAAGAGTGTTGAAAGTGATTTGCTATTGTTCCCTGCTAGCATCATGACTTAAAATATAAAAAATTAATTTTTATTCTTGGATCCCATTGAAGATCAACCAAAATGAAAATCTTATTGAAGAGAATTTTTGCCGTTAAAACTGCAATTTACTACAAAAACACCCCTTTTTTTTAATTACATTCCAGTTACATGAACGAAGATCTTTTATGGTCATAGCCATGCGGACATGGAATAAATATTATTATATCTGGAGCGATATGACTTTCTAATCTTTTGTTCTAGTTTCGAACACAAAGACGGGTTAAAATTAGCAAATCTGATTGTCTGAACGGTTGAAAATAATGAAAAAAGTGGGATGAGTTATGTTCATGCGTAATCAAACTGTTTAAACAAAAGCAGACAAATTAACGGACACGAAGCAGAAAGGGAAGGGATTACATGAAAATGGGAAGAAAAAGTTTGATTCACTTTACTGCTTTTGAGAATAACTTACAATTGAATTGCACAAAGTTTGATAAATTAAGAGACAATGGAGCAGCTGATTTTGGCGAAACCTAGGTCTCTGTAAAGTGGACGTGGTGATGTTGGCGAATTTATTTAGCACATACTCCGAGCCTAATTGGAGAGCTTTTATTATCATTACAATCCTTCTACAGTTCAACTCCCAAAATGCTTAAAATGCTATAATATATTTCTTGCTTATTTTACCTTGTTTGATTTTCTCTGCTTATTTAAATCTAAATAAAGTCTTTTGGGTTTCTTACCCGCACCTTTCAAATTAATAAAGGAAAGGGGAAATTGCACTTACACTATGTGGTTGAGAGTGAGTGCGTCTAACTTTTGAAATTATAAAAAGATGCACTTAGCTTTTAAATGGTTTGGAAATATGTTCTTAATACTTATATGATGAAAATGTGCTCATTAACCCCTTACAATTTGCAAAATGTGCATTTAACCCTCAAGTTTATTAATATTAAAGGTGAAATCTCAAAAATGATTGGGATTAAATGGAACCCCTGCTATGTTTCAAAAGAAGAAATATAACCCCTCCAAGTTTAATATTGGATGTGAAATCTCAAAAACACTTGGGGGTTAAATGTATATTTTTTTTAAACCACAAGGGGTCAAGAGCGCATTTTCATGACTTTGGGGGTTACATGCACATTTTCAAACCATATGAGGGTTAAGTGCACCTTTTTTGTAATTTGAGAGTTAAGTGCACCCACTTCGAATCACAAGGGGTGTAAAGGCAATTTTCCCTCAAAGAAAAGTGGGAAAGGAGTGCAAAAAATGCAATTCAATCTGAGCATGCAAATGATAGTAAATAAATAAATAAATAAATATCTGAACATGCAATTATGCAAATTGGTTGATGATGTAGTTCTGGGCCAATGGGCCCCTTTACTTCTGCACGGGCTTTTTGTGTATTAGACTAATTGACTTCGGCGGACTCTATCCGAATTCTTAAGCCCATACATAGAGCCCATGCTCATTATTTTGCCACATGAGATTAAGAGGCCTGAAGCAAATTTCCTAACACAAACTAAGAAACAAAATTTCAACCATATTTTCGACACCTAATATTAAATTTTAGAAAATTAGGGATGACAATAACTCCTTTTTTTTTTTATTGCATAATGGAAAGTAATTCTCTTTTATTCTGAATCTATGATGAGAAAGAGATAAGAATAAATCATACTTTTTCTTCTATTTGGTTTGTTATGGTTATCATATCACTATAACTTTTTATTTATTGAGTTATTAAATGGTCTCTTTTATATATAAAAATACTACAATTAGAATGCTACATGGCATTTTTTTTAATGATAAAATTTATTATAATATCACATGATATTATAAGTTTATAATATGATATGTCATTATTGTATTGACGAATTTCATTTAAAAGTACAGCCATAATATTATATATATATATCATGTTATACTCATTTAATATTATATTATATCATAATTATAAACTTATAGTTTATATGATATAATAACTATAACATTTTTAATTTATATATCATTTGTTATAATTGATGCTTGATTTTTTTTGTATGCATAATTCTTAGCTATGTAGTTTCATTAAATAGAAAATTATTTAAATTGCCATGCTATATAAAAGCCATAATGTAGCCTACTCATTTACTTTTCATGTAATGTAGTCTCCAACATATAATGCCTACCATATATCTCCTTGCCACCAAACAATTTGTTGTTACCCAAAGCCAAGTGGAACAAGCAACCCCCAAACAACAACCAACCCCAAAACTTCAGTTTCTTATAATAATCTATGTCTTGTAAGGGTTTTATAAGTCACCATATTTTCCTTTGACCGAGTTGGAGAACTATGATTCGATGAAGAATTATGAATGCTGCAAGGTATGAAATTGTAGGACGCCATATAGGGGCAAAATCTAGGATGCGAGAAGAACAATGCACATTCATGCCTCGATCTCTGACCAGGAAGACCCCCAATGCAGTTCCCACTAACATCAAGAACGCCACTCTTAATCAGCTTCCTGCAAAACGGCCCTACTTGTGTGAAGTAATTGTGGGAAAGTGAAAGGTTCACCAAACTTCCCAACGCACACAGCACCTCCGGTATCTGGCCGTACAGGAGGTTGCCGGTGAGGTTTAGTATTTCGATCTTTTTCAGGCAGCCCAAGGAGCAGGGCAGCGGGCCAGTCAGAAAGTTATTTCCAGCATCAAAGAGCCTGAGCTCTCTTAGAAACCCAAGTTCATACGGTAAACAACCTAATACATAACAGAGATGAATTTAGAATTTTTATTAAGTGAGAGCAAATTTATAATTAAAAATGAAAACTCATAGCCTTACCTGTTAACATATTGTTCAATAATAAAACCTCAGTTAACGTTGAGGAAGCATTGGCAATGCTTCGTGGGATTGGACCGGTAAACTTGTTGTTTGCCAAGGTGAGATAAAGAAGAGGTGAGGCACCGAGGTTGACCGGAAGGTTTTGAATGAAGTTATTGTTGTTAAGGAAGAGCACGTTGAGAGTTTGAAAGAAAACAGCAGGAGGCACCGCCCCTGTAAACATGTTAAACCGGATGTCTAGGAAAGATAGGCCGGTCATGCCAAGGACTGCGGTAGGGAATGGACCGAAAAAATTGTTGTTGCTTAAATCTAATTCGTAGAGATAAGGTAGTTTTGCGATACTAGGAGATATGGTGCCAGAAAAGTTGTTGGAGTTGGCATGGAAAACGGCGAGATCAGGGAGCTGATCAATAAAGCCATCAAGTGTTGGGGCAGAGAGTCGGAATCCGTTGAAATCAATGGAAGCAAGGGCAACCGCGGTAAGATTGTCAGGTGGGTGGTCACAGTAAAAGCCTTTGTAGCTGCATACGTCGGAGCCAACCCATGTTGCGGTGATGTTGAAGGGATCCAAGGTAATGGTGGTTTTGAAGGTTTGAATGATGGGGTAAATGATAGAGAGTCGCTGGTCCAAGAAGGTTAAGATTTCGGGTACTAATGGTAGGGGGGGTAATGGGATTAGAGGATTTTGGCTTAGTACGGGGAGGAGAAATGGGAGGAGCAGAAAGAAAATGTGAGTTATGGATTTAGTGTGGAAAAGGATGCCCTCCATTTGAAAGGCGTGGGAGAGAGTTGAAAGGTTGGAGATTGAGATATCTTGATCGTGGTATATATGCAATGGGATAGTGTGGTTGTTGAGTATCACTTTCGTGGGGAAAAATGGGTATGCATTTTAGTTAGTGGATTATTGCATCTATATCTCAAGTGGAGTGTTCCTTTATCTTAATTGTGCAAGCGCATGAACTTGTTAAGAATTATGCAAACACGAGAGTCAACGACTCTAAAAGGTGTTCAGATTTCAACTCATTGGAATTGATAAAGTAGTAATGATCAATAGTAACTAACAGTTTTAAGCTTTTTTTTTTTAATTATTATTTTTTTATTTTCAGTATAAACAATTTTCATAAATTACACATATTAAATTAAGGGATTTATACTTATCCGTTTTACTTTAAAAAAATTAAAAGGAAAAATAACAAAAAATACCTTAATTCATAATTTAAAAATAAAATTTTTAATCTTTTTTAATAAGTATTTATTAAAATGATATAATTTTAAAATAATATTCTTTAAGGCGTATAAGCACTATTTTTTCTTAAATTAAAGATGATTTGTCTTATTTTTTAATATTACATTTACATTTACCCTTTTTTTTTGTTGCACAATGAGAGTCAACCATCTTTTATCCCTTATCTCACTCCACTCACATGTTATGTAATTCAAATTCAGAATCTCTTACTTACATTTATCTAATGTTAGAATTTTCTTGCATCTATGACTTGTTAGAAGTTGATTTATTAGCAATTTTATTCTATTAATTACAATATATTTTATTTTGTAAAT